GAAATTCTCCTCGCGGTGAATATATCTGCTGAATTCATACTTATCATTGGCTTGGTTGCCAGACAGACACTTTTACGTGCTTTTAATAAAATCTGGACGGAAAGAGACACTGTCCCTTCAATTTAGAAGAAGGTACTGATATTCCTGTCTTAAAGAAAGACAAACATATTTCTGAACTTGGGAGCTATAGACTTACATTGACAAGCATTATGGAAAAAATAGGGTTAAGAGTAAATTATTCTAGTATTTCGAGAATATTTTAAATCCAGCTCAGGCTAGTTTTTAAACTACATTGCTTTAACGGAGGAGTACATAGTTACATCGTTCAGAGTATCACTGAACTGCCCTTACCTACCTACCTCCGTACCTCAAGTAAACATGATGTGACGCATCACATAACAACCAAAGGTGTGACTGTGCATTCACGAGCCCGTCTACTCGATCCTGAAAAACTTGCCTAAGCCAAGCGAGAATTTAAGTTCATGTTGGAGAAGGGAATCATTTCACCATCAAAGTCTCAATGGGCTAGTTCCCTATATTTAATCAGTAAAAAGATGGAACAGTTACAGCCTGCGGGGACTATAGACGGATAAATGAGCAAACCATACCTAACCGTTACCTCAATCTTAGAATTGAAGAGTTTCATCTTATCTTGCACGGTAAAAATATATTTTCAAAGACTGATCCAGTAAAAGCATACTATTCGATACCAATCGCTGAAGCAGACAAACCAAACGCCTCCATAATTATCCCTTTCGGGTTATTTGAGTTCAATATTATGAGTTCCGAACTCAGAAATGCACCAGCTACCTTTCAGCTTTCATTAGCGACGTTTTCTTCGGTTTGGATTTTCTATTCCCATATTTAGACGATGTGCTAATAGCATCATCTGATGATTATGAACAGAAACAACATCTGCAGGTAGTGTTGGAGAGACTGAGCAAATTTTCCTCCGCATTAATGTATCGAAGTGCATTCTTGGAGTAGACCAAATAGAGTTTCTGGTTTATCTGATTACTGCTAAAGGATCATGTCCTCTGCCTAGCAAGGTCCAAGTCATCGTAGAACAATACCCATTGCTTGTGACCCTATAAGATTTGCGCACCTTCTTGTGTATGCTAAATTTTTATCGCACGTATTTGAGAAATGCTGCTCAAACACAGGTACTACTGCATGAGTTTTTGAAGGATGCAAAAAATAAAGAAAAAAGAAAAGTCCCATGGATTGAGGAGGAAAGACAACAATTTGAAAAATGCAAGCCTTATTTAGCTAATGCTGCCCTTTTATGTTTCCCCTCACCTGTACTTCCGTTATCATTGTGTACTGATGCATCAAACTGTGATATCGGCTCAGTACTACAACAATTTGAAGCAGGGAACTGGAAACCAATTGCTTTCTATTCAAAGAAATTGAATGACGCTCAGAAATCTTACAGCACCTACGATGGTGAACTCTTGGGTGTATAAATGTCAGCGAAAATTTCAAGTATATACTGGAAGGTAGAGAATTTGGAATTGTAACGGATCACAAGCCACTGAACTTTGCCTTTAAGAAAAAAGATAACTGCGTCAACTACAATACATTTCGCAGTTCACCACAGATATTCGGCACATTAGTGGATAAGAAAACGTGGTTGAGAACACTCTGTCACGGATCTCTGTTATGGTCATAAACAAATATCCGTAGAACAAGTACAGATTCAGAATTGAAAGATCTAATGGAAAGTGACAGGACACTTAAATTTAGTCAGTCCGTACTTCCATCTTCTAAAGTTTTGTGGTATGATACCTCACAAAAGAAGATTCGGCCTTATATTCCAGCTAGTTTTCGGAGAAAACTTCTTGATCAAATTCATGGTTTTTCACACCCTAGCATTTTAAATATACCATTAAACAGATGACTGCTAGTTTTGTGTGACCTGGAATGAAAAAACAAATAAAAGATTGGATCCAAGCATATATCAGATGTCAAAAATGTAAAGTTACTAGGCATACCAAATCTAAATTTGCGGAATATCCACAACCAGATACCCGTTTCAGAGTAGTGCATATCATTCTCATTGGCTCATTACCCCTTTCAAATGGGCACGGGTATTGTTTAACCTGCATCGAACAATTTACTGGCTAGATGGAAGTCATACCATTATTACACATCACCGCAGAAGTTGTAAGCAAAGCCTTTTTATGAGCATTGGATTTACAGATTTGGCGTCCCATATAAAATTATTGCGGATCAAGGAACACAGTTGTTCAGGAGTTTGGTTGTAACATGTAGGGCTAAAGTCCTTCACTCTACAGCGTACCATCCCCAATGCAATGGGAAAATTGAGAAGCTTCATAGAACTTTGAAGAGTGCTATAAAAGCGCTTAATAATGCTCAGCGGACGGAAAAACTACCATGGGGTCTTAGATCTGCTTTATGATGTGACACAAATCACTCGATTGCCCAGATGGTATATGGAGCAAACATTAAACTTCCTCGTGAATTTTTTGATCCACCCAGTTTCAAAGTTGACTCTACTACTATAAGATCTAGCTTTTCTAGGCCACATAAACTAAACTAGATCCTACAAATGAACCTGGCGAATTCTGGCACAGGCGTGAATTAAATACCAGCACAGAAGAAGGGTGAAAAAAACCCTTTATTAATTCAACTCAGAACAGAAAGGCACTTACTTCGTGCTTTACAATAACACCGATCACTTGCCGTGGAATTTACACGTTACAACCTAAATCAATGCAAGTCTAAATAGAATAGTGCTGGATTAGCAAATTAAGTTACGGCTAACTTAGGCTGACTCAGCAAAACCTAATAGACGTGACAATTATCCGAAATGGCCAAGGGGCGTACTAGCGCAACAGCGAAATAAGCAACGAAAAGTGCGCTGGCTAGCAAAAACACGCTCTGAATACACTCAGAGATTCACCCGTTTAAGTACTCCCTTGACTTAATTTTAAATTTATATCCTGGCGAGGAAATACGAGAAGTTGAAAAGTTCAGAAGCGATAACAAAATTTGAATAAAATGTTAGCTAAGGAAATCCTACACTATCTTTCTTGGTAAACTGCTAAACTACTTTTATAACTTAAGACCGACCAAAACACGGTGTGCTACCCATCAGAAAGTTTTTGTTCACAAAGATTTAAAGTCATGCTCGCATGTTTTTGTGAGAACCGACAAAGTGAAAAAGTCACTTGAACCAACTGATACAGGACCGTTTCAAATATCTAACAGAAATGAGAAATATTTTTCTGTGCTCGTTAAAGGCAAAATAGTTAATATGTCTGTTGACAGACTAAAGCCCGCACACATGCTAGCTACTGATTCTGATGCTGTACCTGACAAAGTGATTGTGGATAACATAACTAACCAACATTCAAATGAAAAGTTTTTCCAAGCTATGGACGACAGCAAAACTCTTACAGCAAAGTTCCATTCCGGTAGACAGGTAAAATTGCTCGTCTGGTCTCGAGATTGAAATTAATCCTACAACTGTCTTTCCTTTCCGAACCACGAATACTTAGTGTCGTAACTTAGTTACTGGTGAGGGAGTTGTTGGAAACGGTAATAGTTAAAATAAGTACCGCTAGATGACAGCTTATAGTACTACACTTTAAATATCAAATTATATTTTTACTTCACGAGCTAAATATTTTAAACATTATTTTTTGAAAAAATAAAGAATTAGAACTGGTCTCGCAAATCTGTTTGTTGTTGCTTACATTCAATTTTTAAAGTTTTGGAGTATGTACTAGTTTTATTTAAAATTATTTTAAAGACACGTAATATATTAAAAATAGGCTATATTGAGATATAAAAACTTTAAAAAATATTTTTTTAGGAAAAATACTTTTTGTAGGAACATTTAGTTTAATTATTTCTAAATTGGGTCATTTTAAATACATATTATTCTTCTAAAAATAATCAAATAAAAGATTTGTTTGTCCTTAAGCTGCACGAAGTATATATTACAATTTTATGTCGATGGAAAAGAAGGTATTTTATTTTAATTTTATTTAAAGTATTTTAATATTTTATAAATGAAATAAAAGACCAAATACAATGCCAAGAGCATCGAAATAAGTTACGAAATTTCATGGTCATAAACTGGTTAGCTTGTAGCGGTTTCTACATCACAAAAACGTTATTTTGCTGTTTAAGAAAAAGTTTTCACTATTATATTAAAAAAAAATATTTATTACTTTTTAAGATATCGATCTTTTAAAAATTATTTTATTATTCTAGTTATATATTATTTTTTGTTGCCATTCGAAGTCTACATTATATACATATATATATTCGCATTCATTTAGTATAAAGTTGTAGAAGCAAAAGTTATATATCATTTGGTAGAGGTTACAAGTTATTAAGATAATAAGCTTTAATAATAAAGGTACTTGACTCCTGAACGCTTTATTTTCCAAGAAAGCATCCCGTGTGGCAAACGGAATGCATCCACCTTTTGCGATGAGAGCGTGGGCAGATGTATAACGTCTAAGTTTTGTTTTCTGTTTTAAAAACAATAGCATTAAAATTTTTGTAAAATGTTGGTGTTTTAAAATGTGTCGTCTGAGTTTATGGACCTGGTAAGTTTTCCTTAAACAACACCCTGATCATACTGTAAGTATTGTAATAGATCTCAGCAATGAAAGTTCCTCTAGTTTGGAAATTAAACTCTTTCTTAAAGAGGCATTTTGGAATAGGAAGTGAAAAGCAGAGAAATATTAGCGATGAATATAAAACAGCCTGAGGGATTAAATGTCACATTTATGCTCAGATTCATTAAAAAACTTGTAATGAAATTATAACTATAAATTAAAAGTACTGCATCAGTTTTATGACTTTTAAAACGTATAACTTTCTTCCAAAAATCCCCAAAATCTTTTGAAAGATTTTGAAGGTATATATTTCCATTATTTAGTGATCTAACGCCTTCCTATTTCAAAAATATGTTGTAGCTATTAGAACTGTGCTAGGTAATGATTCGCAACGCAAGAATTGTTATCGGGCCTCTTATCATTACTTTAGCTGATATTTAGCTGTAACACTACATCAAACTGATAACTCCAATCCATCCATCTAAAGAGCTGTATAGAAGAAGAAATTCAAAGCTTACTGTAACAACCAATTTAACGGTACGTACTTCAACTTCTTCTGCTAATTTTCTAATAATTATTTATTAGTTTCATTCATTAATTAGTTTAATTTTAAAATTAAAAAGTACTGTTATAATTTCTAAATGAAAGGAAGTTCTGCATGAGTATGAAAATATATTTTTCAATTAATGTAAAAATTATTTTAAGTAATTTGTTTTAAAGAGAGTTCAGGCGAGAAGATAAGTTTAAAATTTTTTTTCCACTTTATTAAAATAATATTAGTTCTGTAAAATTTATTTATAATTTTACAGTTGATAGTTATATTATATTAAGGTTTTGAAAAGGGTAAATTCTTAAAAATATTCAAATTAGTTTATTAAAAGTATTTTCGCCAAAATTGTTTTGTCCAGTGGAAGAACTGTATCTAATCGCTTTCAGAATCGATAGTTTTATTCACCAAACTAAAGCTGCCTTTTTTTCTGGCCTAATTTTAAATTTTACATTGGCTTGTTTCTCTTCCAGTTTCATTTAGCTTTCGCTGTGAAAACAATGTAAAAAAAAAAAAAGGCTGCTCACACTTTGCGCGTTGAATTATTAACACTTTTTAAATAGAACATTGAAGCTTCGAAATACAATAAAGCCCATAAAAGGCATTTTGAATTAAATAAAAAATTCTATCAAAAATTTATTCTCGTTCAAACTAAAGTCAAACTAGCAGTTATTCATATATTCGTTGCCCCGCCAGTGGCTGAGTGGTTAAGACATCTGTATGCTGGGAGATCGCCCTGTGCTTGATCCTGGGTGGATAGCTTTGCTGCACGGTTAGATTTCGTGTTTTTCCCATGTGCAACGTGAGCATGAAATAGTTTTCCTAGAAAGTCCTCCACGAAACCATCCCTCCATATAGGCAGAAAACCAGCTTGTGCTTTGCCATATTCAACAACATTGAAATATTATTCATAACCTAACCTACTCTTTACTTTGGTTAGTTTTAAAATGAGACACTTAGAAAATGTTTAATAATGCATTTTACAGTTGTACGTTACATTTATTAGTTTTACAATAATAGTTTTAAATCAGAAAATAAAAACTTGCACTTTGGTAAAATTTAAAAAAAAATGTTCCATTGCATTTGCTTTTTTTTTATTGTCCCCCAATTGTCCTAAGAAATTACACAGATAAAATGAAAATTAAAATGGTAAAAAACTTACTGGACTATTCTCTTAGTTTTCATATAAAAAGACATCTTGTAACATTTTGCTCTCTATAAAATGAAAACTCAAAAAATATAATTTCGTAATGCGATGCATCAATCATGTGCCATTACGTATGCTTCATGCAATCATGCTTATTAATATTGCTGATACTGAATCTCAGAATTTTATCTTTAGCTGCGAAAGGGAGTTTGTAGACTGTTCCGAAGTTAGTTATTGTAACTTTTTGCTTCACAATTGTAGTTATTAGTCCAAAGGGATTTGAATCCCGAAGGACTATTAGTTTCGTTTTGGCATTTTGCGTCGGACTCATAAATGTCGGTTCACTTTTCAAACTGTCGCCACAAAATGTTAGAGTCCTGCATTATATTTGAAGAAATTAAATAATGAAAAATCTGCATAAATGTATGTATATTTCTCGTATTGTGATAAAACAACGGTACATAGAGTCATCGAATTTTGAATAACGTAATCCTCCAACGAATATGAGCATGTGGAAGACCAAATTTGAAATTTGAAATTTGTTTTATGATCGATTTCCTATTTTTTAAAACTTTGACGAATTTTTGATTAACAAACTCAAGGATTTCAAAGCGAGTAATGTAAACGTTGTGCAGAGAAAAAACATTTTTATCTCCAGCGCGTGAGTCTCTGTATCGGAAATTCTAAAGATATGCTCGTTTTAAAACTATTTTGCGATATTGCTGTTGCACTGGATCTTATGGTTTAAGTGCGAGGAACATGATATTTAATAAAGAAAGGTAACACAAAATGTTAAAAAACGCCCCTTTGGACGTAATTTAAAATCTGAAACATTTCAGATTTTTTTTTTATATATTATGTTTTTAAATAAACATCGAAATTTTTACTTTTAAAATAAAATTTCTGATGATTTAACTGAACAATACTAATTTCTTTTGTACTTTTTATTTTAATCAAAATATTGAAAAATTAGAAGCCCAAAGTGTAGGAATGTAAGAAACACTATAACAATTTTTCAGACTGCTCTGCTGCTGAGAATAAAGTACTTTTAACTTCTCAATTTTGGAAAGCCTGAGATAGTTTTGCTAATAAACATGGAATGGAAACTTCTAGAATGCATTGAAGCAGGATTGACAAAAATTGAACTGATTTAATATTCTTTAGAAAATAAGAGTTACATAATAGTTCAATTTAATGAAATTCTTCAAAATGATCCAGAATGTTCAAAAATGATCCAGAATTCTCTTAAGAATTAAGAAATAAAACTAAAATATACCTTATAAGAAAGGATAAAAAAGAAGTTGTCAAAGAAAGGTTCAGAAACGAATTGCTAACAGACCAGAATTATATGACCTGAACTATCAACAATAACCTATTTTTCTTTTCAACGTTTTAGCGCAGAGAAGCTATTACTTTCGTTTTGGCATTGCGTTGTTTCACTGTAAATGTCGGTTCACTTGTTAGATTGTTGCCACCAAATATTAGAACCCTGTATTATATTTAAAGAAATTAAATAATGAAGAAGCTGCATAAATGTATGTATGTTTCTCGCACTGTGATGAAACAACGGTACCTAGAACCATCAAATTTTGAATAACGTACGTTTCCACTCGAATATGGGAATCTATAAGCCCAAATTTGGAATCGGGAATTTGTTTTATTATCTATTTCACATTTTGTAAAACTTTAACGAACTTTTGATTAACAAACTCAAAGATTTCAAAGCGAGCAATGGCAACACTGCACGAAAAAAAAAAAAAAAAAAAAAAAAAAAAAAACATTTTTATCTCCAGCGCGAGGAACTGTGTATCGGAAATTCTAAAGCTATGGTCATTTTAAAATTATTTTGCATATTGCTGTTTAACTGAATTTTATCCTTTAAGTGCGAAGAATTTATAGATATGATAGAATATGATATTTAATAAATAAAGGTAACACACAAAACGTTAAAAAACCGCCCCTTTGGGCGTAATGTAAAATCTGAAAAATTTCAGATTTTTCTTTTGATTTTTTCTTTCTTTCTTTCTTTCTTTTTTTTTTTTTCTAACTTTTCATAAACCATAACGGCTCAGGTTTTCTTACTGGTCTGCTATGGCTTAGAAAAACTACTATATTGCATAGCAGAAGTAGTGACCGTTGATATCAAGACAAGTTATTACCTTCGGTTCAATTATAGTAATAATAGTATTTAAGATTTGTTTAGCTATGTGCCAAAAGTAAATCTTTCTAGTAAAAAGCAAAAAGACCAAACTTCTTGGGAAAAAATCAGGGAAACAAAATTAAAAATGAACAAAAAAAAAAAAAAAAAAAAAAAAAAAAAAGCCTAAAATGTAAATATTACAATATACTGTTACGGGTTTTGTATTTAGTTAACTTTGTTTAGTAGAATTTAATTAAAATCGTTTTATTTCCCGATGCAATGCAGCGCGTGACGAGTTTTAAGAGAAAGCTACGACGAAAAGTAAAAATTCAGGAGCACGCGCATTTAATAAATAGATATCTCGTATTTATACTCTTTTACTTTCCAGAAAGTCCGAGAAAACGGAAGTTACGAGAACCTTCTCGTGTTATTCAAAAAGCTATAAAAGCTGGAGAGAAACATCTCAGCTCAGTTGTTTACTAAGTTGTTCTTGCTTACTCAGCTACTGTAATTTTGATATCGGATTAGTTTTCTCGGCGCTTTGAATTGTGTTCTATTTATCGTTTTTGTAGTTTAAAATATAACTGCTGTGTGATATTGTACGAATATGTCTGAGGAAAAATTTCAGCATTTTGTTTTATTTCTTATGATAATTAAATTTTGCTAACTTTTCATCGATTTGTGCATTCAATCTATTACGAACCCGTACGCAGGCAACAATATTTTACATTGCAACGAGTATATATATCTAAAGAAAGATCAATAAAACAATATCTTGAAATCTTTTCTGTTTGTGAAACTTAATATGTTGTTAAGCAATAAACTGAAAAATTCTCCTGAATGTTAAAGTTATTTTGTCACCAGAAATCTGAAATATCTTTCCAGATTATGAAGAAGGTTTCTGAACTTTGCTTTAACATACCTACAAACATTTTCGTGAAGTTATGCATGCAAGGTAACCAAACAGCTCTTGCCATTCATAACTGTCAAAAACATACAGTTATTAACATACAGACAAAAGCAGACATACATCGTCTCCAAGTAATCTGCATCAGCATCCAGCACATTTTGCCAACGTTCCTTGTTCCTCTGGTGATAAAATTAGATCTTGGATGCAAAAAAGTTCACTACTGTTTGCCGCAGGTCTGCCTCATTGTCGAAGGATTTCCTACATAGGTGGTTGTTCAGGGACGTAAAACGTTATAATTTGTGGGTTTTAGGTACAGCGAGCACCGTGGCTCCGAGCCAAAACATTAAAAGGTATCCCTGGTCGTCCTTGCCACCTATTATCTACTGCTGTTGTAGAGAAACAGCATATACTTGCGTCTTACCAACACTTGGCTGTTTCTAATGCAGTGCATGTTGCGCTCGTTAAAAGTGCTGCAGGTACAGGCCTTTAAAAATAGGGTGACCTGGTAGTGGTACCTCGGAAAATCCCACTTACCGACTAAATTGCCAGACACAGAGCATGATCTTACGGGGGTATCTAGTACGCTTAGAAGTATCATACTGGACCCACGTTAGTCAATTGCAAGCACCCATCCAAATATTTTTATGTTATCTTGCCTAGAAAACAACTGAAAACCGGCTGTTGTTCAATTTTAGCTGACGAAAATATGTCGGATAAACTAATTCAGTTTAAATATCTTCTTTATTAGATGAATGTTAAGTCTGACTGTTTGCTGGGAAATCTGTAAGCGTTCTCCAAGTTTGTCACACGTTTTACTGCTGCCCTCCTCCATGGCTGGTTTCAAAGCCTCGTTACCTAACATCTCTCTTCGACCTTCGCAGGGGATAACAAAAGCTCAAATCTTCTGACTTTAATTTCTAAAAATCAATATTTAGCGCTACTTTCGTTCATGACACTTTTCACAAATGCCTGACATATTCGACGACTTGATGCGGCTGTTGATAAGCCCACCTTTAAAAACATGCAAACAACCGCAAACTATATGCGAAGGACAAACAATCGCAAACAAGATGCTTCGAAATCACCATTTCTTTTCGACGCTAGGCTGCCGTGAGTGCTGCGTGCACGCAGCATATCTGTACGTGTAACTCTAACGTCTGGTACGTGTACGCGTAAGGTGTATGAACCAATGTTACACAAACACTCCATCGCGTTTCCGATGCGCGAGTTACTTTCTTTTACTCTCTGCCACTTCGTTTCCCCTCTTCGTTTCTTCATCAAATGAACGTCAAAAACAGCAAGAATATTTTTGTTTACCTTTCAATTTTCTTAAAATACTGTTGCGCGCGTACGGGTTCGTTATGAATTGAGTGTACAAGTACGATTAAAAATGAATAAAATTTATTATTATCACAACAAATAAAACAAAAATGCTTAAATTTCCTCAGATATTCGTGCAATATCCTAATACCTCACAGAAGTTATCTTCTAAACTACTAAAAATGTTCAACAGAAATAATTCAAAATAGAGAAACGTAGAGAAAGCTAATCCGATTTCACCGCGAATTCGCTACAGTAAACAACAGCAGTTTTCTAAACAAAACTGAACTGAGGTGTTCTTTCTCTGGCTTTTATAGTTTTTTAAATCGGCTATAAAAGCCAGAGCAAAGCCACGAGTTTGTTCTAGCAATTTCTCGAAATCAAAAATAGGTATTTATGAACTAAATATTAAATGCACGTGCTCTTGTATTTTTAATTTTCCGACTTGGCTTTCCCTTAATATTTGTCACGCGCTGCACTGCACGGGAAACAAAACAATTTAATTTATCATTCTACTAACATTAGCTATTTAAATACAAAATCCGTAACACTACGTATGTAGAATATTAACACATCTTCTCAGATCAGAATCATGATAACTTCAGATCTTACGAAGACTTTGAGATTCTTAAATAACTTAAAAATATTTTCTTTAACGTTTGAAGAAAATTAAGAAAATACATGCTTAAAAATTATCACTGCTACTCGCAGTAAAGAGATCTCAGTAAAATTTACTATGTGAAAATTAATTTAATAAAAATAACGATTTAATAGAAACTAATCTGCAAAATGTGGCAATTGGAAGTGAGAAATGAATGTAAGCTCTCTTCCATATGGTTTAAACCTTCACAAACCCATTCGTTCTTTGTATTTTCCAAAAAATTAATTTTCTTGAGATACAATCCATTGCAGTAACAACAATGAAAAGTTCGTCAAAGCATTTTGATGTCAGAAATTATTAAATACTTATTTTTATTTCAGGTTTGCTTATTTTTTCTAGTGCATTAAAGATTTCTTTTCAGTTGCTTGAGATTTAATTCACTACTATGCTAATGATGGATGCATATCACACAAATAATAGAATGAAAAGTAAAAGAAAGGAAATACTTTTAAAGAAATCAAGAACTCATACTCTAAGAACTTTCGGAAATTTCAAGGAATTTCTAGATGATTATGAAAGCAAACATTTAACAATATCACAAGAAAAACTTTTGCCACATATAATACAATTAGCAACAAGCAAAGCAAAATTGCCCAAATATTTCACGGCAGATAAACTACATGCACTAAATAAAGCATATAAACAGGAACTAGAAGAACTTGATTCTATTTATAGAAACTGGGTGCCAAAGAGGAGGCAAATACTGACTATATTAAATGAAAGTGTTAAAAATTTAGAAAATCTTAGACGGTACTCCGCAGAGGGCAGACTATGGTCATCTGTGGTCGATATTTTGGGAAGGATTACTTCAGTGGCATTGAAACCTCTCAGCACTAAATGGTCATCTGGAGTTTTATACACATCATCAGCATTCTGCTTTATGACCCTCGTCATTACTTTGGTTGAAATGTCACGATCAAACGTAATTACAGAAGAAGTAATGGACGTTATGCGAGATGATAGATATATTTCTAAACGCATTCGCTTATGGTTTCGGAGACTGTCTGAATTTGATCGCCAAGTGCAAAATTTCTTTCCCCATGGGATTGATACAGGCATCGTTGAGTGTTTATTGGGCATAAGAAAATGCAGCTGCAGTTTAAGAACGTCGCTAAAACTGCTGCTGCCGAAAGGAGAGTCCCTGAAGCCACAAGAGATGATCCGACTAATAATTTTGCTGTCAAATGTCGCAAAGGATGAAGATCTGATGCATGACGATGACTTTTTGGCCAAACTGGACTTATTTTCTAAAAGTTCTTGTGCACAGAACTGGTTCAACAAGTATGATTTTTCAATATTTTGTTAATTTTTTTACGATATAAATTTAATTTTGTGTATGTCTCTAGAAATTCATGTAACAAATTCTATGGTAAGATGTGAATAACTAAGTTTAGGAGCAAACATTGTGTGCTTTTAAATATTAGTTCTGTACCTAAATGATATTGTATTAAACTATACAGGTTTTGCACATAGGAAGGCTATTTTTTTTAAATTAAGGTTCGGAAAGCTTGAAATCAAAGTGTGAACGCAGAGGAAAAGATTTCAGCGTATACAGATGTTACACGCATTATTATATTACGACATTTGGTCATCCGAAATTCTCTTTGTTATTGGATGTTTCCAGTCTGAAGGTCTAAATAGAGCTGAAATTCGTTGCAAATTGTCTAATAGCCAGGAAAGCATATAAGCACTGACAGTATTGCACAAAACAAAAGTTAGAAACTTTAGGAAGCAGGGTTAGATGTCTTTGATAGGAAGTGTCATGGAATGGGAGTCTGGCGACTGATGAAGTCCTTCAAATTTTGTCATGGTTTGACTCAAATGTTAGGCGGCAAGCTTCTGCGACAAAGGTATATAACACGTGTAGCGTTTAATGACAAACGTTTTAAATTCAGAAAATATGTGAGGAAATAATATATTGGTATTAAATGTATTAAAACATTTTGTTCAATCCAAATCTTAATTTCAAGCTCTTCAGAACTTAATTAAAAAAACACCCGTGCAATCTAGAATAAACAACTAAAATTCAAATGGATAAAATTAAAGAGCATTACTATTTGCTGTTATGCAGACAGAGATATCTTGCGCTTTTGGTTGTGCTCTTGCAGACAGGTTTACTGGAAATGAATATATTACAAATATGATATTATATTAAACTAAAAAGCCGGATGATGTACAGAAGCGTGCTGAAAAAAACGAATACTGATACACAACAAAAACAGAAAAATAAGAGTGCATAAAATTTTGAAAGCCATAGAGTTAGGTCATTAAAATTTTGACATCCTAATATACCTTGGAAACATTAATGTACCGTTAAGAATCCACATCCGGAGTCGTATATACTAGAAGATAATTACATTTTACCACACTTTTACAAATAAAGCATATATTAATTAGGAGTAATTTTATTTTGCTTAAGAATTCATGTAGGCAATCATAGCCCTTTTTAATCTGGAATTGTCCGCAGTTCCCTTACGTAATTTCTTACTGAATAAAGTTCAGCTTCTTGAGTGTTTTATCACTGCTAATCTTTTTATTTATTCTTTATGCTGTTTGACAATTTTGTATAATTTCTTTATGAAAATACCTTTTAAATGTCTCTTGCGGAAAGCGCTTTCTGATCAAGATATATTTTAATTCCATTCGTGAGCAAACAGATCAGTCATTTCATTATCGTCAAGTAATACATATGATGGCATCCATTGAGAAGCAATACAACAAATTTTATTTTGGAAAAAAGTAATAGGTCTGAAATTATAAATGTTACATTTTGAGTCTTTTTATTGTAAAGAAATATATATTGAACCTGTATTTCTTAGAGCACAGAAAATGACCTAGCGTTCAATTAATACTTTCGCAACTTTGTCTAGGAAGCAAGTGATTGCTATTAACTTACAGAAGTTATACGGTATTTCTCCAGCCTTTTTAGCATGCCTTCGTAGTGTAGTGGTCAGCACGCTCGACGCGAAATCGAGAGGTCCGTGGTTCGAGTCCCGACTCCGGCTAGGGCATTGCTCATTTTTCATCTCTCTTGCTTTCAAAAAATACCTAATGTCTCTACAATGTTAGCCGCAAAAAATATTCTTCACGTCATTAAAATCTGAGAAATAAGTATATTGAATCTCTTCGCTCTAAAATTTTAGCATTAAAGTCATACATTGTGCCTTTACCATAGTTAAGGCATTTGAGTACACTATCCTCTATTTAGCAGTTTTATTAAAGAATCAAAAGTTAGAATAACTATGAAATCTTCAGAGTTTAGAGAGAGTTTGCTGCAGTCATAGAACACAAATAGAATACAAATCAAAGTTAAGAGTCTACAAACATTTAAACCGTAGTGAAAAAAGAACTTACAAGAGATTCATTTATAAGTTTTAAATAGCTTCAGGTTTACCTGTTAGGCAATGATATTATCAGGAGTATATTTCATAAAAGAAGGTAACATGTTGAAAAGAATGAAGCCCAAATACAAAACAAAGTACAAAATCTTTTAAGACTTCTGCACTAAAAAACATAGGTAGAATCCTTCTTTGCCAATATATTATTTGACGCTCGTTTGTTTTCGCCGTTGCCGAGTTTTATTATGCAAAGGTGACACTAATTAATTTTAACATAAAGACCTGTATTAAAGTTATGATAAACAGCGATTGGTTGAATATGAATAGGAAGTTTAGAATCTTCATTTTGAGGTGTACTTGTTGTCACGTTTAATCATAGCAATAACAATTTTTCCCTATGCCACGATGTAAGTTTATCAAGGTATATATTTAACTCCACTAATTATTTACTTTGAATCCCAAGCAACATTCTCACAACGATCGAAAATATCACAAAGAACACGAGATAGTTTTTTTTTTTTTTTTTTTTTTTTTTTTTTTTTTTTTTTTTAAGAATCTCTGATAACAGCAAATGACTTTAAGTTTCATTATTATATTCTCTGCATATAAGATAATGCTTTACTGTCAAGTTCTGGCTTGTACCTTCATACAAGAAGACGTATTCAATAATAATTCTAAGTCTAATTTCAAATTAAATATAATTATTACGTGCAAATTACACGTTATTTCGAAGTGACACATTAGGTTATTCGAAGCAGGAAACGTATAAAATCAACTCTATTCTCATCAAGACTCAAACCACAGATCTTCCAACTGCTAGTTGGACATGCTCTCACTCAAGGTTACTATACTATAATGTTTGTTCTTCCGTGATGTCACTAACGACGTCACTATCTCATAATCTGCTTTAAGTAAATATTCCCTACTCCCTTCGTATTTTCGTTTCTCCTACCTCTGTACCTCGAGTGGTCACTGAACTCCAGCATTGAAAAAAAAAAAAAAAAAAAAAAAAAAAAAAAAAAGCCTAACCTTGTTTGCCTATGATAATTTGAATAAGTAAGAATTTTGATTTTTTAAATGCCTCTTTGTTGCGAAGGAAAGTAATTTGGAAAAAAAATTGATAGGTGATAGAAAACATCTAAACAAGCAATATTTACCATACAATGCATGGGCGGAGAGCAAGTGATGAACCGCTAGACGGTGTTGTAATGAAAAGCATAAAGCGAGAGTTTTCTTGCACGTTGTCATTCCTAGCTTCGATTTCAGAAGGCATGTCTAAACATAGGAATCAGGAAAAGGCGGACATGCATTTTATGTGTGGCCTTGCAAATGGGAGTGCTTGGGAATCCGAAAGACTGTATAGGCAGCGTTTCCCGAGAAGACACGTGCTAGGCCGAAAAGTAGTAGAGTGATTGTATCAGTGCCTGTGTGAAACGGAATTCTGTATCACCGGCATGCATGATACAGGGCATAACAGGAGTTTACGGACGCCACAACGTGTAGAGGACATTCTGCAAAGAGTGGAAGATCGTGCACGCAAGAGGTTTCCTGTGCCGTAAATGTATCCCAGTCGAATGTCTGGCAAGTACTACGGGACGAAGGATACCATAACCGAAAGTGCATGGTACTCTCCCTACCATGTACCGAAAGTGTAAGCCTTGATACCTGCAGATTATGCGCTGCGTGTCGAGTTTGCAGGTTTGTTAATGAAATAAATAGCAGCTCAGCCTGATTTCAGTGCACATGTGTTATTAACGGAAGAATGCATCTTTACTCCTGAAGACATTTCTAATATGCATGTGTTGGCATCTAGCAATCCGAACGACACATGTTCACATACGTATCAGAAGCGTTTCAGCGTAAATGTTTGGGTTGGAATTGCGGGCCCCTACCTTTTGCCATTCCGACTGGATGGCAGAACATACCTCACATTTGTACAACAGGTATTGCCAGAGTTACTTCAACCTGTTGCAGCTAGCATACAATCACGTATGTGGTTCTAGCACCACCCCATTTCAGCTTGGGTGTTCGGAGCGCTTTAGACGCTAAATTTCCAAGGCGATAGATTAGTCGGAGCCGGCGCCATCTGAGAAATCTAAAAAAGGGTGCCGGTCGCTACGTCGCAGGTGTAACGCCTGCATTACCACAGGCGGTTGCGCTTTTGAGCAGCTTCAGTAATTTTGCTCCACATGCTATCAATAAAATCATTTAGTACCTTCTCTATCCCTTTGGGGTTCCGTTCTTTCAGTACTACAGTAACGGATAGCTCCTAGCGGTTTACCGGTTGCTCTTCGCCCATGCTCTGTATGGTAAAAACTGCTTTTTTAGATGTTTTCTACTATACCTTAAATTTTTGCTCATGAGTTTTGAAACACCCTACTATTGGCCGAATACAAGACGATTTCACAACACGAGTGTTCAATATTCTTCAATGTAATTCGTAAGGAAAAAATGATTTGTGTAAGATGATCTCACATCTATGAGTTTGATATATCGAAGGAAATATAATTAAATAACAATCTCAGAGTTAAAACTAATCTAATTTTTTTTAAAAATTAAATTAAAGAGTAAGTGATTTTAGTATTATTTTCAAATTTTTAACTGTTATAAGATAGATTTGGCTTTCAGAATGAGAAAATGCTGTTTTGTATTAGGTCGAAACTAATTAATCTTTTATGTAATTCTTTCTTCTATCTAAAGAAGGAGTTTTGTGGCTTCTAAAGATTAATTTTGGATATGTTACTAGTCTTATTATCAGACTTGTATGAATTAATAAGGTATTTTACTAATAGAATGATTTATATTCTCATAGGTTCAAATACCAAGAAAAGTATTCTATGTCTGATGACGATTCAAAAATTCTCAATGTGCAAGATTGTTTGTGGCAATCTTCCTTAAATTTTCAGAAGTGGCCATCAATCTGTGCACCTATCTGCATGCTATCTTCAGAGTCTATCGCTTGTAATTTGATCCTGAACGCCATGACAGCTGTCGAAGCTTATTCATCTCTTCATTCAGGATTGAGGACTAAAGAATATAAGGTACTAACAGAAATTCGAAATCAAATGAAAGAAGAACTGTTTACGATGGAAGAAATATACAGAAACATACAAGCCAGTGATTTTAAGTGATTAATAATTTAAAGACGTAAAAATTTGATTTCTCTGGAAGCAAGTGAGATTAATGAGAGAATGACTTTTCACTGATGTATAATTAGGAGAGAAGATTTAAGATAACAAAAAATTATTCTGCATTTGTTACAAATGAGGGGCGGGATAAATTGTACCTCAATACATATACTTATGAAGTTTATAGAACTCAATTTTTTGTTTACTGTACATAAGAAACGCAATATTTGCTTTTATACCATTTTATTTATTAAATTATTATGATTGTTGAAAAATTTCTGTATAATTTAAATATGGTTTCCGTAAAATGTCTTTCTCTTACAGCTCGTTATTTGTTTTATAAATAGCATAAAAATATAAATATAAATGTCTTTTTATAACAAAAGTTTATAATTATTCAATAAATCTGAGAAGCAAAACATTGTTTTCATTTTTACTTCCTTGTACGAAATAAGGGAAGTATTGTAATCACGAAAAATTCCGGGTATCATATTTCAACGAAAATATTCATTTTGACCGTTATCGAATGCAATTTAACTATGTTTTTGCATGACATCTGTACGTAAGGACAGAATAAAGGACTCTTTTTCCCAAACCGGGTTGCAAAAGGATTTAAAATGAATTCAGAAGAGATTTTTTCTTCCTGTCTTTACGTATGTACGTATATATGTATTATGTATCTCGCGTAACTCAAGAGCGAGTAGCCTCAGAACATTGAAATTTGTACATAGGACTGCTATGACATGTAGTTGTGCACCTCCCTTTTCGGCTGCAATGGGCAGCAATAAAAGTACATAAATATTTATATTATATACCCACTTTGTTACTCATCTCAGTGGGCTGAGTTTTTTTATTCTTATATGTTTGTCAACTTTCATTTTTTTCTTTAAAAAGGATTGAATTGTGTTGTTCTTATCTTCCGGTTAAGGGTTTTATGTCTTTAGTTAATCTGCACGCAATAATTGTAGAATTATCAACAATTTAAAAGTTGTTTAAGTGCAGCTAAGACTTAGTTTACCACAGTAGCCATATTTGTTAACATTTGAAACTTAGCAGAATAGTGAATTCAGTTTCTGCACTTTCAGTGCCTTTTTTTTAACCTGGCCTTCAGGCAATCCAAGGCACATGCCGTAAAAACCACTCGTTAGGGCCATACAAAAACTCTAATACCAAAATGCTTTAGGCCTGAGCTTTAATGGGTACCTGCCGACACCGGCATACTGGGTAATGAAATTGCAGATGCAATAGCTGAAAGAGCAGCAACTGACCCCCACGTTTGACGCACTTGACGTGCGTCTCCCGGGCTCGTTCTTAAAAGCTGAGCTCGAGAGAGAATTATTGAAACGTTGGCAATATCTGTGGGAGACAAAGACCACCGGCAGAAGAGTTCACAGATTTTTCCAAAAGTCTGCCGGCTTCTAAAGTGGCTCGCCTCACTTGACTCAGTTTCTAGCAGAGCATGGCTCCTTCATGACTTACCTGCATCGCTTCAGGCGACGCGAAAACGACCATTGCTCATGCGAGATGGCAGAAGTTACGGACTGCTATGTGTTCGTTTGCAGAGAGACTGCCGAACATCATATTAGGCAGCCAGTAGCGAACCATATCCAAGCATGGGCCGTAGGTACTTCGAAAAATCGCTATACGTTGAAACGCATATACGATTGCGTAAATATTGCACGCAAAATCTCAGACAGGCTGGAGTAATTCTTACCTGGCAACCTCGTCACCAGCACAGCTCCCCGTATGCTCTGCACTTGTAGTAAATTTATTTTATCTTAAGTTAACTTTTTCTGTTTTTTTTTCCTGTTTATACTTATCTCCTTGAACTGTAAACCCTGAATCGTGAACCTTGAATTATGTATTTTGCCTTATTTTATGTATTACCTATTTTCATTGTTTTGCTTTTTAGTATTTTACTTTTTAGTATTGTTATTTAATATTTTGCCTTATTTTAGATGTTATTTTTACTGTTTTATCGGTCACTCTATCAGGTTCAATGTTCCTTCTTACCTTCTTCGGGAACCTGACTCGGAACAGAGAGCTTACTAAAGCTATGTTCACTAATTGTGGGAAGTAGACAGGATACACCAGAAGGGTATACAAAACCCTTTATTTTCTCTATTTACAATAACTTCCGTACTTCGGAATACACGGACCCGCTACTCGGGGTCTAACGTAAAATATAAAAATAGAACTTAATTCTAATTTAATTTTAAAATAATAAACGTGGAAGATTGGCCTTATATTAACAGGAAGCGTATGTAGTACAGAGAACTGTGAACACTACAATACGTTTAAATTTATCAAGAGGATTAAAACCTCCGGCCTGGAAGGCAACAAGCAACTGCGTAACTTCTAAGGTAAGCGGCCTGCTTCGACTCGCTGCTTCCTCTCTCTCGCTTGGCAAAAAGCCACAACTTAAATACTTGGCGTTCGCCAGACAAACTTTGCATAAAAACCTTAACGCTTATAATTCTGGCCGGAAGTAGAAAATAAGAAGTGATAGTAAAGATTTAAAATAAAATAAACGTTAGTAAAACTTAAGATCCTTACATACTTCCCGCCAGAGTTAATTAGTTTGAAACTGAGGTCTAAAACGACCTTGTTGAAAACTTTTAGCTCTAGAACCTAACGCGAGGCCAATCTTTTACAAATATTTTTCGCTAGAAACTAGAAATTTAAAAGAAAGAAATTTGTTTTTACAATAGCAGCTCCCAGGATACACAATTTTTTTCATCTGTACTGCATCTAAACAGGAGCTTTTATTCAAATCTGGTTCCTTCCAGAGATCTGGAAGGAAAACTAGTTTAATGAAATGTTACACAATGAAATGGCAAGTAACATGCGTATTTATATTTCTCTTAACATTCTTATTTCATTCATGACTATTTTAATTATCTCTCCCCGTGCTCTCTGACATGTGTTGTAAAAGAACACCAAACACGAATGTGTTTCTGTCTACGTGTTCCACACTTCCTCCTACAATCAAAACACTAACGTGTTAAATTTCAACATGCCAAGACCTCGTAACACACCCTACTTTCAACTCTAAACCCTGACGTACTATTCTGAAAGTGGCTAACTCTGAAGTGTAGCGTCAGAGAGCCTAATTACATCATTCAACCTTTAACACATATTCACCATGATTTAGTCGTTTTACAGTCACACGAATAAAAAATTTTAACATTCACTTTTACCATATCACGGTATTCCTTAACATTTAAAATAACAGTTCACATTGTATATAAGCACATATCAACATGCCATTAATTTTACACATTTGAAAACATACATTAGTAGTACATTGTTAACTTCTATTCTTTTCAAAGCAAGTGCCAATTCTTTCTACATTGAAATACTACATTTCAAAAAGTCTTTCAGACTAAAACTTCTTTCTTGCTAGAATGTTTTAAATAAAAATTTACACAATAACTTTTTACAATATTTAAGTCTTTACACAACGCTATTATACATCAACTTTAGTTTTACGCGCGAGTAATTGAAAAACATAATACCAAAATCGGTCACAACTCATTTCTCGCCCTTTTGGCGATAAAGGTAGACCTCGCATGAGGTAAAACTTCTTTAAATCTGCCACTTGCAGTAAGAATGAAAGATTAACTTAAGTTTGTAAAGTAACATAAAATTTTACTTATATTTGTGATATTCGGACATCCTTTTCTGGGCCCAGTCCTTAAAGGTATTGCAGATAGTTGTTTGATTTATCCTCCTTCTTGTACGGCCTCGCCCTTCAGTGCCTTCCTCTGGAAGCTTCCTTTTTTCACCAGTTCGGTCACCCTTGAATACCTTCTTTTTCTCCTCTGCTTGTGGTCTTGGCCGTTTGATGGCAGCTGGTCTTGGCGGAACCGGGAAACTTCTTTCGTGTTCCTGCCTGGACCTCGTTGCTGGCCGTTCAAATTTTCTTTGTAACTTTTCGTCCGCCGCTGATGGCCCTTCCGCAGTTCGGCGACATTTGCTGCGTAGAGTCCTGTCGGATGAGTAGATCTTCCTTTTTTGAGTCGGGTTATAGTTGCCCTCATTTCTCTTGGTTCTCTTCACATACGTCGTCCTTCTCCCTTCTTCATTCTGGGGGTGTTCGTGAACTCTCTTTTCTGGACGGTGGAACGGCTTCTTTTTCTTGCTACCTTCAATTTTTCCGCGGGAAAATTTTCTTTTCACTTGCTCCTGCCTCTTAATGGCTTGCCCTTGTACTTCTCGTTTTTCCACCTCTGGAGCTTGTGCCTGCGGTGTCTGCCGTGCCGGATCCTGCAAAAGATCTGAAAATATTTTATTACGATCAAAGTAGGGTTTGATTTGATCAATGCTTGCGGAGCAGGTTTCACCATTTCTGGCTTTTAACACTACTACAGCGTGAGTTATTTTTTCTATAACATATGGTCCTTCAAATCGTGGAAAAAATTTGGCAGTCTTATCTTCTGGTGCTAAAGAAAGTGAATGCTTAATTTTTAAAACTTCATCCCCTACTTTATAAGTTACTCCCCGTCGTTTCAAGTCGTAATATAATTTTTCTTTTCTCTGTGCTACTTCAGTCATTCTTCTTTGCTTCCTTAATTAGTTTTTCTATATCACCCATTTTGAATTCTGGGGCTCCTTGTTGCACATAAAATAATTTATCTAACGGCATTATAATCTTTCTGCCTACAAATAACTTAGCAGGAGTTTTGCCCGTTGTATCATGTTTTGCGGTCCTAAGGGCGAAAGCAAATTCATTGACATAGTTATCCCAGCTTTTATGAAAATTTTTAACATAACTACGGATAATTTTCACTATATTTCTATTGACCCGTTCCGCTATATTTGATTGCGGCCGATACGGGACCATTTTTAAATGACGTAAGCCCAGTTTTTGGCACATGTCTTCAAATATATTACTTACAAATTGAGGACCATTATCCGATATAACTTTTAGGGGCGCCCCGTATTTTAAAATATATTTGTTTAAAATAGAATCAGTAACTAATTTCGCGGAGGCTCGTTTTAAGGGAACAATTTCGGTCCATTTACTAAAATGATCAACCATAACAAGGAGATAGCGACTTTTATTTAACTGACTTTTTGGGAAAGGGCCCAATAAATCGATGCCAATTATTTCATTTGGAAATTCGGATTTAATACTATTTAGAAACCCGGCCGGGCGGAAATTAATATAATTAACTGCTTGACATGTTGGGTAGGACTGGACATACGCCCTTGTTAACTTTTGCAGTTCAGGAAAGTACACTGCCTCGCGTACGCGTTGGATAGTTTTTCG